TGAGATTTTTCAGGCCTTCCGGCTAGCCTGTTCAGGGCAGCGGTGATGTTTCCACCTCCGCACCGCCTGGTGCAGGTTCCTGTTCTTCTTCTGCCAGGCGTAGGCCTTGTTCACCACCACTTTGTCACTCTGTACTTCGCCGCTTACAACAAAGACCCCCGCGTGAGTGCCTCTCATGATGTTGTGGACGCAGGTAGCATCTATGTCCAGCCACTGCTGGAGCCTGGCGGGGATTTCGGTTCTGAGGAGCGGGCCGTGCTTCAGGACCTCCACCCTGGAGGGGTCCAGGTCAAAGTCTGAGATGGTAGTGGTCATGTTCTTCCTCAGGATTCGGATTTTCACTGCTGCAGGGGTTGGAAAAAGAGCTGTTAGTTCTGCTTACTTTTCATAGCTCTTACCTACTTAAACACACAGCCGATGCAGGGCTTTCTTGCTGTTTCTGTAATGTGGTGACGCATCCATCCAAGCTCTTGTAATTGCAGTGAATTTGTAAAAGTTCTCATTTGAGGTTAGTTTCAGTACTGAACACCCTTCTTCTCACTCCGCTTTTCTCATGAGAGTGGCAAAGGTGTATCAGCACCGCTGCACGGGCAGAAACCCTGTAGGAAATGGGTGCAAGCAAGTGGATGCATCCAAGTCCTGGTCTTGTGCAAATTACTTGACACTGAGCTGGGATTTCAGGAGGAGACATGACTGCCAGCAGCCCAGGATTTTTAACCTTTTCTTTTTTTTTTCCATGAAGGTACTGTGCCTGAATTCAGGACAGTATCTTGAAAACTTCCTGGCAGCTGACTGAGCAGAGCCAGTGCTGCCACCTGCTTGGGCTGGGGGAGGGAGAGTCACATTACTAGAACAATGGTTTTGAACTTTGAAATAGCTAACGTGGAGTTTGCTGAAGTTTTTTATGGGTATCAGTTGAAATGTTGGTCTCTGAGGGAAAAAACGAGTACTGCTTGTATTTAGCAGCCACAGACCAAAACGCAATCAGAGCCCACAGAAAAGGTCTTCAAAAAGCAGGTCTTCACCTTTGGTGCTGCCTGGAGCTGGGCCCTCTTGCTACATAGCCAGTAAGTCGGAACCTGAACATCTCTATGATCTGCTGTAAAAGCTGCAGTTCCTCCAAGTCAGTTTGTTATGGCAAAGCCGTTTTCTTCCCATGCCACTACTTGGCTGCTGGAGGGAACTGCAGCAGCTGAGAGGAGGAGGGGGTTACTCACCAAAATCATTGGCGCAGAGGTTTTCCAGGATCTCCCTGGCAGTGCTGGCCTCCTCAAGCTCGCAGTCCTTGCAGCTGGCTCGGGGCACTGCTGCAACAGAAATTTGATTATGATACCTTTGTCAAGCTTCACTGGAAAAGGCATAATGCAATTTTGAGATCTGCGAGTGGTGGCTTGCTGTTTCCGAGGGGTGCTTTCTCCAGAGCTACCCCGTCCCTGGAGAGACAGCTTAGGCTGCCAGGGTGGGAAATGTTAAGCTCTCCTTTCTGTGGCTGGGGCAGATGCTGCTTGTCGTACTTTGTTTAGGCTTGTATGTGTTGCTACATGTTAAAGCAGCAGTGAAAATGCTTAATGAAGATCTCCTAGTTTGGATGGAACAGTAAAGCCATTGGTATGGCCAAACTCCATCCAGCGATGCTGAAATGAGGCGTCTGTTCTCCCCTTAACTGCTCTTGAATCTCCCCCAGCGCTCATCAGTATCTGAGTGTTTAATTTAGTCTTTTAGTCTTAAAGATTTTTTTTCTTGTGTAACTCATGTCTGCAGAGGCTCATGCCCCTTTGTGGTGTTTCCTAATGTTCAAAGAGAAGGCTTGCAAAACTTTTCTTTTTGCGTGTTTTTAAACTCTGGACGCAGCTGAAAGATCAGGGCTGCAGCTCCTCAGCTCTGCTGGAAGCACATCTCATCGCCTGGAGCCTGCACACCACGAGCTCTCACGCTGTGCCTGAGCGTTGGGCTTTCACAGCAATTCCTTCCCCCTGCCTGCTCTGACGGCACCCGGGGAGCTAATGAATACAGTGGAGAGGGGAACAAGCTGCAGTCAATGTTACGCTAGTTTTCTAGACATGGTGGAGTTCCCAGAGAGAACAAAATTAAGATTTCTAAGTTATTTTTGTAAAATACAGCTTAAAACCAGAAACATTAGGAACACAAAGAAGAAATAGGCCTTTTGAGCTTTCGGTGTTACATATGGGAAAACATCTGAGGAAAATAAAACCCTTACTTCTCCTGCTTGAGGAATTTTCGTCCATGGAGACTGCTGCGATGCACAGTTCATGATCTGCAGGAAACTTGTTGCAGTTCAGGATTTCAGGCCAGGGGTAGCCGTAACAAGCCATGACGGGTGCGCAGCTTCTCTTGACGGCTTCGCACAGGCTGCGGCAGGGGTAGATGAGCCTGGGGAGGGGACGGGGATTGGAGCACCTCTGCACTCTCGGCAGCAGGCTGAGGGTCGAGCCCTGGCACTGCGCTGCTGCGCAGGGCTGTGTTGCACACTCTAGTGCTAGCGGAGGTATTTGGGGGTCTTTGATGTCTTTTGAACATTAATGCCCAGGAAGCAAACAATGACTTTCTGAGGATGGGAGGGATGAGGCTGTTTGATATGTGTTGCTGCCAGAAGCCCTTCCTCTGCCCAGGGATCTTCTCTAGTTGTGCAAAGTCTGCTTACCTTTACAGGTGCCTAATTAGATACCTGATTTCCTTAGCAGCTCTGACAGCTGCACCTCAAAAATGAGGATTTCTCTCTGATGCTGGCACTGTCGGGCTGGGGAAGCCCTTGCGTGGTTGGGGCAGGAGCTGGTAAGGGGGCTGCAGGGGAGGTGGGAGGTGAAGCCGGTGGGTGCCAGCGGCTACTGCGCTGTGCCATGGGGACAGCCAGGGGAGATGGCAGCAGTGCCTAGGGTGGGAGAGCAGGAAAATCCAGAAGAGGGAACATAATGTTTCTGCTCCTACAAGATGAAATGCTCATGTTTCACTTTCAGAGGGAAGGTCCCTGCTGGGTAATCCAATTGCCCCTTGCTGAGAGAGGCAGCGTGGCTTTTCAGGGACTGTGGTGAGATTTCATGCATTTTCTCTCGGGAAGCAAATGCAGTTGTGCTCTTGGAGAGTGTTACTTGCTACAGCTGAAATAACTTGTGAAAACATCTTACCTGTCCAAGCAGATTGGTGCGAAGAGGGAGCAGAGGAAAATCCTAGCGTCGGGGTGGCACTCCCTGGCCAGCAAGGGCAGCCAGCTGGAAGACTGCTGGATCACTTCTGGCATGGTCTCATGCTCCAGCAGGTTGGGAATCCTCATCTCGGAGTAGCCGATGTCGTAGCACAAGGCCATGCGGTGTGGAATGGGTGTGCAGCTGGAAGATCTCCTCAGGTAGCTTGCCCAGGCTCCTGGAGAACCCCAGAGCAGCAGGCGCGCCAGGAGACCCAGCAGCCATGGGCCACCCGACCTCAAGGGTTGCCTGCGGTGGGCTGTGACCATGCTCGGAGCGAGCTGGGAGCGGGCGAATGGGCAGCGCACCTCGGACTGAGCTGCTCCCAACTGTGGGACGCCTTTTATAGCCTAAGAGCCACCTCTCTGTCAATCCATCCTCATTAAGTGCGGCCCTTTCAGAGCCCTCATGGGGAAGACAATGCTCCAATTTTCGTTTGCCAGCGGCCCCGATTGTTTGGATTTTAGCAGGGGTTTGGCTTAGATCAGCAGGTGTGGAAATGAGGGCAGTTGGGGAGGGATGAATGACTTGGCCCATGTGTCTTGGGGCTCTTTCAGCCGAGATTGAATCTCTGTTTGACACCAGTGCTCCAACCCATCCCCTTTCTCTTGCTCCAGGATTAGTCATTATTTCATAAACCCCAATGTTTTCCTCTCTTTTGTTTTTTGTAAAAGCAATCAAGTGTTGCTCAAAGTCAATTAGGAGGCATTTGTTTAGCTGGATCTATTGTTGAGCAGGCAGAGAGATAGGATGGTCTCACAGCCAGAAGTTAACTGTTTCGGAGAGCTGAGGGTAGAGAGGAACTAATTTGCAGCTGTGGAGCCGGGTTGTTTGCAGATAGGATTGGCAGCGCTTAGCTGGAAACCCCCTCACCTTGCAACCTGCGTGACAGAGCGCGTTAACAGAATTTTTACTTCATTACAAAATCCGGTTACTACCGCTGAAGAGCGGGATTGTCCTTCCTCCAGCACGTAATTAAGATTCCAGAAGCCATCATTATTGTAGCCCAGTTTGGGGAACTGGAAATACTGGGGGCGTTGCTTGCCAGCGCGCACGGTTCATTCAGATCTGGTGCCGTGCCATGAGGTTCAAACTGGCCAGCGGAAGCTCCGGCTCTGAAGCGTCCTCTGGCACAAGGACCCTGTGCTGCCTGCGGCGGAAATTGTTTCCTCGGAGGGTGTTACAGATACAGCCGGCTGCATTGTGTGTCTGGGGCTTCCCAGGAACATCTCGTTTTCTCCAGGGCTAGTTCTGGTCTGTGCTTAGCAAGAAGCCAACTGCTTATTGACAGTTTGAGCTGATAGGGTTGAATTAAGGTCATGGAAGTAATTAACTTTTTTTTTCCCCCCACTTTGAGAGTTGCTGCTATAGTGGAGATGTAATGTGTCCTTGGCACATACCTGCAGGAGCTCTAGGGGACTGCGATTTGGAGAGCAGGACCTTGGGTCTAGGAGCACTTAAACCTGTCCTGCTTTGATGGGTCTTCTGTCCCTCTTCAAAAATCTCAGCAGCTGGTGACAAGATCCCCGTAGCAGTGACAGACATCAGCCAGAAGGATCTTCTCAACCTGCTGGGCCATAGTGTAACTGTGCTGTGGAACAGGACCTCCCCAGCGCTTCGCAAGTGTGTGCCCAGTGCACCGTGCAGCTAGAAATCTCGGAGCCTCATAGCCATCAGTGGATTTCCTTGCATTTAAATTTGATTGGAATCCTGGTGTTGCCTGATTGCTACTGGTGTCATGCTGCAAAGGAAAGCTGGTGATATGGGGATGCTACCTGTGTATGGAGCGTGGCATCTGCCATGGGCCGTGTCTTCCCCTTTAATATTGCATTTGAAGACCATTTTAGTGAGGGATCAAGGGAATGAGTGAGGGATCAAGGGAATGAGTGAGAATAACTTTGGAAGTTGTCTCCTTGCTGTTTGAGTTTCATAGCAGTGCTGTGCCAGGTTCCCCTGAAAGGCGTTTGGTTTTGTGCAAAGTGCTGTCCTCCCCGCGTGAGAGCAAGGAAGCCTGAAAACCTGGCCATCACCACTGCCCACTGCAGTTTTGCCCTCCCTTCCTGTAGAGCAGCCGTTCCCAGACTCTGATCCACAAGTCACCTTTGAAGTGATAATATAGAGTGATATGCACGTGTTTGTTCACTCCTTTGTCCATTGTGGTATCCGCGAGAGAGTTTAAGGGCTTGACCCCTGGATCCAAACATTTAGGAATGGCTGCTGTAAAAATACCCGCTTCCAGCAGCTCAGGTGTGTGGCGTATGCTCTTTGAGAGCTTTTCTGGTGGAAGGGTTGATGCGTTTGCATGTCTCAAACTTAGGCAGAGTCTAAGTTTCCCCCCCACCTCTTTTTTTTTTTTTTTTTTTTCCTTCCAAGTAGCCTGCCATCGGTCCCACTGTAACAGTTCCTCAATCTCTGTTGCTTCTCACACTTTTGCTGCAGAAATTCCCGACTTCCTGACAGAGGAAGAGTGCAAGCTCATCGTCCATCTGGCCCAGCTGAAGGGACTGCAGAAGAGCCAGATCCTACCAACGGATGACTATGAGGAAGCCATGGAAATGATAGAAATCAGCCAGATGGACATTTTCAATCTGCTGGACCACAATCAGGACGGGCAGCTGCAGCTCAAAGAGGTGGAGTGCGGGACAGACTGGGGGAGGTTTGCTGTGGGACCCTCTGGCAGGTCACCTCCTCAGATGATCTCTTGATTACTCCTGTGCTTGGGTAGTTCCAGACCCCAATATATACCATTCAGTATTTACTTAATTTTATGCCTCAAGTGCTGACCTTCAGCATGGGAATTTTGGGGGGAATGTGCAGCAATTGTCGTGCTATTGGAAGGTAGCAGCAGTCCTTGGCAGATGTGTGTTTTGAATATGCTGGGTGAAAAGTTCCTTCTGCTGTGGGTTTCCTCTTGCTGGGCATCCCGGGGAAGTGAGTTTGTAGCGTAGCCACTGCTTTGTGCAGCCTGCGGGGACTGACTGTGCTCAATTGACCAGACATCAGCCAAGCCACCCCTATTAATGACCCTGGAGGGGGATAATGAGCACCTCGTCCACAGCTCTGCGGCACCCTTGCCCTGTACTGCAGGGTGCATCAGGGCAGGCGCTGACAGTTCAAGGATGTCCCGCTCCAGGCTCCCGTTTCAGGTGGGGCTGGGGGTGTGTACTGTCCCGTGGGCAGCAAGCGTTGTGCAGTATGGGGCACTGTGCCAGTGACAACCCAGTGCTGAGAGCTCTCCAGGATACTGCGTATCTCTGTCCTCATGGAAAGGAGGCATTTTGTTCCAAGCCATTATCTTGCGCAAGTAGAAGCATTCACTTTTATCATCGATAGCTTTACTTTCCCTTCAAGAGAAAGAGCTCTGCCCCCTCCACCTCAGGGCTGGTTAACTGAGTCGCAGCAGTCATTTGCCGTGACCTAAACTGGAAATAACAGCACGCATCAGCCACACACTGTGTGTGGCTGCCAGATAATTCCCACTCCAATCTTCTTTCCGCAGAGACGTGCTGACGCCTGGCTGGCCGATGCTCTGCAGAGGAGAGCCCGCCAGGCCTCAAGCAGGGAATCTGCAGGGTTCCGTTAGCGTGAGAAACCAGTGCCCGCTGTTGATCCATTTCTGAATTTCAGGTGTTGACCCACACCCGGCTTGGGAATGGCAGGTGGATGACCCCTGAAAACATCCGGGAGATGTATACTGCAGTCAAGGCTGATCCTGATGGGAACGGTAAGAGCAGCTCCATGGAAATCCCTTCGCCCTCAGCACGCTGGACTCCTCACCCTGCCATGCGGGGCAGAGCAAGAGCCAGGTCCCTGCCCAGGCCTGTTGTGTTCCTCAAAGGAAAATAATGCTGCTTTAGAGACCTTCACAGAAAAGTGGAATCAGTGTAACCCTCTCATCGCAGCATCCCTGCCACTTCATCACCGGTATAGCAGCAGACTAGTTCCACCGCCTGGGCTTGGATCTTGCAGAAGCACGATGAGAACACAACTGCGCTTCCTCTCCCTTGTCAGACCTGCCTTAGTTCATGCCGCGATATAACACAACCTTCAGGGTGCACTTCTGCTCCCGTGGTCTGAGAGACCGCTCTGGCTCTGACTATGTAGCTCTTGTTACCTGGGCTGCAGGTTTTAAGGTGCACCCTCCACTCCCCCACTGTTTTCAGGGAGAATTCTGCAGCATCACTGGCAGGGGAGGGCAGAATAAGGGGAGGTGAGGGTGGTCTTGTTGGTCAGCCTTTGTTGCTGAAACCCCTCTCTGCTGCTGCAAACTCTCCATATTTCCATGAGGCCAATTCTGCCCTTCCTGCCTGTGGTCTCCCAAGGGCTCCTGCTGGTCCGGACGTGCACTCTAACCTCTGCTGCTCTAATTAGAGTGGCCTCAATTAAGCAACTCTTCATTTCCTAATCAAATTAAGTGAACACACAGGCTCTGCATGCTCTCTTCCAGTGACCTGGCGTTGAGAGCTGCCCAGGAGGAGCTGGTTTGAGTTGAAGCAGTATCCGTGTGAATGCCTAAATATCCGGAGGGCACCCCATGCCCTGCTCCTCTGGGCTGGTGGCATTCTTGGCAGGGGTAGGAGCATATGACTGAGTCCTTAGTGGCTTTTCCACTCTTCTGGATATTAACAAATGAAAGGTCCTGTTAAAGTGGTCTTGGCAGGACCTTGCTTCCAGAGAGCTGCTTCCCTCCGTTGTTAGATTGGTACGTGACACTGAGAGACCAGGTCGCAACCTGGATGTGGCACTGTGTCATCAAAGACTGCATGGAGTAAGGGGAAGTGGGGACAAGAAGACACTAGAAATAATAATGGTCTGGATAATTTGGTCATGACCACTGGCACCTGAGGAACTGTCCCAGGCTGACCCTGGTGGCTGGTCTTTCCCACTGCCGGAGGGTGCTGTGTGCCTGGGGAGCAGAGCTGGCACCACAGCAGCACTGGGTTTGCTCCCTGAACAAGCTCCACTCGCAGCCTGCGATGCGTGCTGGCTGCCGGGCAGCACACTGCAGCACTCCGCACACTCTGGTCCCAGGGACCTGATCCTCAGTGCGGGGATTCCTTCTTCTCTAGAAAGGGGAAACAACAAATGTGAGGATTTTTCTGAAGCTGACAAAGGCAGAAGTCCATTACTTGGCAAGTCCAGTTGAGTGCAAACAAGAAATACCTGTTTTAGTAGAAACCGCTTTTTACCTCTCGCTTTTCTGTTACTTCTAGTTATGTAAGATCATACTGTGTTGTATTTCTCGCTCATGTTTTGCAATTACACAAATGCAGAAGAATGTACTGCTTGTTTTGGGTTTGGCTTTTTCAATTTACCATGCAAGGTCTTGTAGAAAATGTGGTCTGAGGTGTCCCACTCTGTGTCTATTTAAATATCTAAGTAACAAGCCCCAAGGCATCAGGCAGCACAGGCTTCTTAGCTGTGGCATTGCATATGTTAGAACTGTAGTGGCTATTTCTCTCTTTTGATGGATTGGTTTGTGTGTTTTAGGAGCTTTTTAAAGTTCAAAATGGTATTTTGCCTGTCCCAGTTCTGACCTCCTGCGGCAGCTAACAGTTCGCTTTTGCACATTGCTGTCTGCCCCTCTGCTTTGCTACAGGCGAGGGCGTTGCTGGGGCCTGTAATCCTGCGTGTGTGGGGTGCAGCCCGTGGTGGGCACAGCTGGTGGACCCTGAATGGGGTTGTTTGAGGAAGGCGGTTTCTGCAGTGCCCTCAGCTGGTGGTTTCTCCGGGTACAGAACTTGAAGAACTATTACCTGCACCACAGTCAACCAGCTTTTCCTCTCTTCCCGTAGGTGTGCTGAGCTTGGAAGAATTCAAACAGTTGAATATCCGCGATTTCCACAAGTACATGGGAAGCCAGAAAGTGAAGATGAGTGACTTGGTGCGCAACAGCCAGCACACCTGGCTGTACCAGGGCGAGGGGGCACACCAGGTCATGAGAGCCATACGGCAAAGGTACGGGCCAGGCAGCCGGGCGGTTGGGTTTGTGTAGGCACGAGGACCACCTGTGCTGGGAGAGGCAGTGGCAGACTTGCTGATATTCACACTTCCTAATTGCGTGAAAGTCTTTGGAGTATAAAGAGCAATGAACACAGACACGGAATGGGGAGAGGAGGTTTTCATTAGAACAAGAATTTGTATTGTCCTGTGGAAAAGGAAAAAGAAAAATCAAACCTTTCAGCATCTCCATTCACTTTTGGGAACAGCCCTATAAAACCAAGAAGACTTGGCATTATATGAAATAATTCATTCTAATTAGTAAATGAGCTTACTGGGAGAAACTGCCCATTTCCAATGCTGTCTGGGTGCCAGTAGTTACTGTCATTTGCTTTAGTTACTCATGCATTTCACTGAAATCTGTCTTAGCAGTTCAGAGCTGACTTTTTAACAAGCACAACTTCATCTCAAGTAAGCTGAGTTGGTGTAATGCTAGTGTAACATGTAGCACAGCGCAGCTCACGGCAGACAGGAGAACCTCTAACCTTTCCCTTCATCTCAGATTTGGTACTGGGAAGCGTGGAAACCCAGCACGCAGGCCAGATGGTTTAGCTGTGGTGAGTTTCAGATAATTGGCTGGAGACCCTCTTGTTCTTGTGGTGCTGGTCCTCGCCCAGGACATGGGTGGGTAAAATCTGTCCTGAGGCTTGAAAATGGCTGTTAGCCACTCCTTTTCTTCAGTGCATTCCAGCGGGGGAATGGAGTCACATATTGCCTTGATTAGAGCAGACTGTGGCTGCCACCTTCTCCGTGCCAGCTAGCCAGCGCACACAGGCATCGGCATACTGCTTTTACGCTCTTCAGTTGGCCACTATTAGGAGGATGTGAAGACATAGCATTGAAGGAGGCTGATACAGTCCTCCCTGGGACCATGCAGTGCCTGGGGGGGCTTTGCCATCCTGCCTGGGTACCGCGTTCCCCTCGTGCCTGCCCCGAGGGCTTCACCGGTCCAAATTCTCAGAGCTCTGAGTGTTCTTTGGCAGGTCTCAAGAGGTACCTGCTTGCCTTGGGGATGATCTCAGATGTAGCAGCGGAAAAAATCCCAGAGCAGGAGGGCTCCAGTCTCCTTGATCACTTCCCATGCCCCTCTGCCCTGGGGGAAGGCTGCTGAAAAGGCAACAGGGAAAGGTGAGTTAGGTGACAAGAATATTCCTAGAGCTAGTCTCTCCTTCACTCTCAGCAGGGACCCTGTGCTTTGCTAACTGTCCCCGAGGTCTGTAGGTGGTGTGCAGGAGTCCAGAGAAGCGATGAGATGGCACATGAAGGCTCCAGGGACACACGCAGAAGGGATCTTGCTGAGCAAGCAAAGTCTTCCTGAGCGCAGTCCTGCTGGAGATGCACCCCTCGGTTTTGGGTTTTTTTTGTTTTTTTTTATTAACCTTGATGAGGGCTTTCTGAGCTGATGCTGATGGTCCAACAAATCTGTAAGGACCTCATTATCTCTTGATATGCTTGCTGCAGCCCATCCGTCTCTCCGGTCTGTTGGGGAAGGGGGTTTTCTTTCTCTGGATTTATTTGGTGCTTGGGAGCGGCGGCTGACCAGGCTGATGGTGCTTTCCCCTCACCTGCTCTGCTCTTCTCTTCCCCAGGGTAATGCGCCTGACTCGCTTGCCCCCCGAGATTGTGGAGCACAGCGAGCCCCTCCAGGTTGTGCGGTATGACCAAGGAGGGCACTACCATGCTCACATGGACAGCGGCCCCGTCTTCCGTGAGACTGCCTGCAGCCACACCAAGCTGGTCGCCAATGAAAGTGCTCCCTTTGAGACCTCCTGCCGGTAAGGTCTGCCTTGGCACAACCTGGAACGCGCTAGAGAAAGGTTGTGGAGAGATGTTTCACCTCACCTTGTGTGGGGCTCAGTACTCAGGTTGTGGGCTCACAAACCAGCTCTGGAGGTTGCTGGCATGAAGGGGTTTGAAGGAGGAGGTGGGTGAATCTTGCAGGTCCACATGAAGAGGGTGGAGCAGTTCTGCAGAGCTGCTGGGTCATCCCCACCAGAGGCTAGAAACGCATCCTCACGGTCGCGGGAGGGGATTTTCTTTGTTGTCCTGGTCTTGTCCTTGGAGAAAAGCTGATGATGTAAATCACATACCTTGTGATGTCTTGGAGGAACCACTGTGTGTATGGTGGAGGGGCAGGGTATGGACAGCCCTTGTGTGTCCTCTCCTGTTCCAGTTGTGTCTCCTGACAGCCACTCTGTCTTGCAGGTATGTGACAGTGCTGTTCTACCTGAACAATGTGACTGGGGGAGGTGAAACAGTCTTTCCTATAGCTGATAACAGGACGTATGAAGAGATGGTAAATGAATCTTGCCTACATGTTACCTCTGGGGATTTTGAGTCCCTGTTTGAATGTATTTGCTGTGGCTGCAGAAGGGGTCTGGTGTGTGAGGTTGGTGGATGTTAGCCTTTGTAGCTAGAGCATGGGGAAGCTGTGTCCCTCTGAGGCCAAGGGAAGAGGCACAGTGCTTTCACAGCGGGACCTCTCCCCACTCAGAGGCCGAAGGAGTGGTCTGTTGGCCTTGCTGCCATAACATGGGTCCTGCTTGCTTCTGTCTGGGCAGGCTTCCTCAGCCTAAGTCCTGGCAGCAGTTATGTTGTGCTCCTGTCATGCAACATGTTCAGGAATGGGCGGCTGCTCAGAAACAGGTCATGGACCTCCAGGGGGGGCTGAAACTAGCTGCTCTGGGTGGGTTGCGAAAGCCCTGCCCTGCCCAGCGTCAGCCTTGAGCTGTCCTTGTGGGGCGTTCAGGCAAAGGACAGGATGGTGGCTGGCAGCAGAGGCAGCCCAGTGCATGCGCTTCATTCCAGCCCTGTTTGCGACACCTTCTCTGTGGTTTCTTGCCAGTCTTTAATCCAGAACGACATTGACCTGCGAGATACTCGGAAAAACTGCGACAAGGGCAATTTGCGAGTGAAACCTCAGCAAGGCACTGCTGTCTTCTGGTACAACTACCTGTCAGACGGAGAAGGTACAGTCCTGTTTCAAGACTCGTCTCTTGGGAGGGGTAGGACTGCAGGAGGTGACAGCCGTCTTCTTCTTGCGGTGGCTGGGAGCTCAGAAGAAAGCCAAAGGGTGGTATCTGCCTGCTAGTGGGAACTGTGGAGTCTGCTTGTCACCAGCTGGGTAGGAGCTTCCTGACTCTGAAAGGCCTTTGTTTACAGGCAGTAGGTCAGTGGCTCCTGATGTCTTTAGGGGACGGGAGTAGCTAGCAAACAAAGACCTTGGCTGCAGTAGCCATCGCCAGCTGCCTCCCATCCCGCTGTGCGAGCTGAAACTCCTGCTGGAACTTGGTCTGCAATTCAAAATGTTTCACTGATGTGGTGTTGCCCAAAGGGATGGGGAGGGGAGGTAGACAAAGGCATGGCCATCAGCTCTGCAGCACAGGGAGGCATGGCTGTGCTTGGGGCCGACTCCTGTTTTATGGCTGAGCCGCAGCGTGATGATATTGTGTCCTTGGGGCTGTTTTTCTCATGAAGTGCAGCGCGGTTTTCCCTGACAGCCAGGCTGGGGGATTGACATGAATCTTCCAGGCTGCTGGTGAGCATGACTCCAGAGTGTTTCAATGGCAGATTTTGAGTAGTGGTGGGAGGAAGGAGTAGAGCATCCCAGCTCCACTAGAAGCAGCTCATGTTTCCATCTCTAGAAAGTCCACAGAGGAGGTCAGAAGACCAGTGTTTCAGCTATTAGATGATAATATCAAGACCATCACTCTCTTGTAAGAAGACCCCTGTTGTGTTTTTATGAGCAAATTGTTCCTAAATGGAAGGCGGCTCCTGATGCAAGTCTGCCACAGAAGAACCATAGCACCTCTGTAAAGAGAGGGTCATTTAGAACCACTGAAATGCAGTCTCTAATATGGCTGTGAGCCTCTGACTTCTACGGGCCTTCTAGTGGCAGGCCCCGCCCCTTCCATGCCAGCCTCCCCTTTTGGGAAGAGCTGAGGAAAACAGCAGCTGTGGTGCAGAATGCAAGAGCCCCTTGTTCTGAGTGGAGACACAGAGGCAATGAGCGTTTTGCACTTGGGGAGCCTGCCCTAGTGAGCTCCTTGCAGGTGCTAGTGTGGGGCGGCACAAAGATGGAGGGGTGCCAGGAGCAGCCAACTCCTGTAAGACATCACCGAGCTAAAATCCAAGCAGGGGCTGTGGGGGAGAGAGCCCCTTGCAGTGCCGGCTGTGCCTGCCTGTGCTGCAGCACCCCTCGCCACCTCCTAATGGGGCTTTTCTGCTCGGCAGGCTGGGTGGGGGAGCTGGATGACTTTGCCCTGCACGGGGGCTGCCTGGTCACCCAAGGCACTCGGACGGAAGGGTTGCAGTGGGCCCCGACCCGCCGCCCGCAGCTGCAGTTCCAGCAGGAGATGGAGCGCTACGCGGGGGCCGGGGCGGGTGGCCCGGGCGAGTGGACGGTGGATAAAGCTTACAGCGGGGTGCACTTGGAGCTGTAGGGCCGAGGCGGCGG